TTTATTTTTTATTAATATTTATTTTACCATAATTTTTCTTTATTTTTTATTTTTATGTTTTTTATTTAATTTTTATTAATTTTGTTTTTAAGTTTATGTAATATAAGTGCTTTGAATATTTTATTTTAATTTTTTATTAATATTTATTTTACAATAATTTTTCTTTATTTTTTATTTTTATGTTTTTTATTTAATTTTTATTAATTTTATTTTTAAGTTTAAGTAATATAAGTGCTTTGAATATATTATTTTAATTTTTTATTAATATTTATTTTAGAATCATTTTTTTTTATTTTTTTTTATTTAATTTTTATTAATTTTATTTTCAAGTTTATGTAATATAACTGCTTTGAGTATTTTATTTTAATTTTTTATTAATATTTATTTTACAATAATTTTTCTTTATTTTTTATTTTTATGTTTTTTATTTAATTTTTATTAATTTTATATTTAAGTTTATGTAATATAAGTGCTTTGAATATTTTATTTTAATTTTTTATCCATATTTATTTTAGAATAATTTTTCTTTATTTTTTATTTTTATGTTTTTTATTTAATTTTTATTTTAATTTAATTTAATTTTCATTTAACTTATTTTATTTTTTTAATTCCTGAATCTTTCTCTACCATTATTTTATTCATTAATTGCTGGAGGATTGCGTAAAGCCATTCACCTGGAAGTGCTCAGAAACGTTGCTTTTACAAAGGTAGTATCTAAAAGACTTCGAAAGTTTAGTAAAGTCCCCTCTGTCTCATGTTTGTCGGCTACATTATTTTATATGCGAGCTGAGGTGGGAAGATGAGCCTGCTGCATTAATCGGTTGCATCATAGCAGACACCCAGCCATTTATCTACACGGCTTATATCAATTACTTGGTATATGAGAACAGTCAGAGAACACTCGGAGCTCCATTCGTATAGCCGCCAACGATATTATTTGTTTCCTTCAAAATTGAAAGGAGAACTGGTACGATGAGGATTGTTGTTCCGCAGTTCCGATGGTCTACAAAGAGTGTGTCATTTGGTAAACACCGAGAGTTAAAAATAGAAACTAGACTAATTTCTAGACATCAAAAAAGAGATGTCGAAGTGCTCTAGAAGTTGTCTGAAAAGGGTAGCGAAAGAATGTGAATTGTGCCCAATTGGGAATCCTCAATTGTGATTTTTCAGAAGCAGAAATGAACTCAAGTGCTCCAAAGTCATACAGAGTTCTAACTATTTTTTTATATTTTTCATGCTGTGGTTACGAGCTGGAAAAGTAGAGACAGAAAACGAAGACAATAGATCGAATAGCAGATAGGAAGACTCAAGTCACGACATACCTACATCTTTGCATGTCCTCTGAATCCTACTCATCTAACAGCCATTTCCATGTGGCCCAAACACGTAGCAACAGCTCGTACCTTTTAGCCCGGAATATATAATTATATAATTAGCGATTTTTCGGCCGAGCTCCTCTTTCTATTTGTGGTTTTGTGTCTTGATGTTTTTTCAGTAAATCTAAAATTTATACTAAGCCACCTCCGAACAGCTGATGATTTTTTTACAAGGAGCCTTTATTTAAAGTTTGAAATACACTCGGAGTTGCGGGCATTCCCTTACCAGCCCTGAATATCGTTATAGTAAAAGTTTGGAGCCCAAAATGAAGGGGAAAGTTACGAGTTGTTCCAAGAGCTGAGCGAGAATTGCTTGGAGTTTGAGATTATTCATGTCTCTCTCATTCTAGGTGAAGCTATGGTCATTGGCGAAAATATAAATGTCTCAATCGGCTGAAAGTCAGAATATCTTACTCACTCTCTCTCAATTTTTCCCCTCTCACTCTCTTCTCTCTCCCTCTGCTCCTCGCTCTCTCTCCCTCTCTCTCGCTATGTTCCACCCACTTTCCTTTACTCCTTTTTTGTCTCACTCTCTCTCTCTTTCAGTGTCTCATTCTCTCTGTTCTATGAATTTATCATAACTTCCGGTCTTATTTAATGCAAAATTCGCTAAAAAAATTAAAAACCAAGAATGTGAATTCCTCTTGCAATTTATTATTTTCACCAAAAGTAAATTTCCCCACCATGGAGTCAACGTGTTAAGGTCACACGCGCAAAGCATTTTTTGTTTACATTCACTTTGCAAGTTAAACCATAAATTTTCGTTCAATTTTTGCACGGCAATATGACAATATATTTTCAAAGATTATTTTGCCAAGTCGACACAAACAGCCCCTAAGAACCTTGAAACTCTTGCATTTGCTGCGAGGGATTAGCTGATGTTGTTATGCAAAATGTTTGGGTGTATGTGTTTCTGTGCAGCTGACTACATGTGGCTTCCAACTTCTTTACCGTGCAGTTTGTGCAACGTGTCCTTGAAGAAAGCTGGCTGCAGAAATGTGCCGAGAGGAAGTCAAAACAACATAAACAAAGCAATAAAGCACTTTGTGACATTGACAGCTTTTGGTTTTTTCCGTTTTGTATTGCATTTTCAATACTTTTGATGCTACACTGTGGATGATTTACTGTTTAAAGTTGGTAAACAACTCAGAGTGAAGCCAATTTACTTTAACTCCAAAGTGGTGCTGGATCGTCATTGAAATATATGAGAGCCCTTGATCACACAACGACTCGCTGGTTACTTAGGAAAAGTTAGGTTAGGCAAAAAAGAGCTATCAGGTATCAGCATACTTAAGCCACCAATCGAGACAATTTTCATATCGCTTAGGATTTAATTGAGCCCCCAATAAACTAGTAAAATCTTAAGGATTGTCACTCCTTGACACTTCAACCTACCCCCCAAAATGTGGGCCATTCTCCAAACGGAGGGCCTAAGTGAGGTCTATGGCCTTCTCCCAACCACTTCTGTAGAATTCCTTTGATGGTACTTCCTGTATCTATGCATATCTACCTAAAACAGCTGCTTCGCCAGAAGATCCATCATCATGGACAATTCTTCTCTTTGTAGCGATATTAGCTCTCCCGACCTTCTCTTGTTCTAAATAGGCTGTATTATACTAGTTACGTTGCCGTTATTGAGACTATTCCATACCGAGCTCGCATCTACAATGAAATACTCTCTTATGAGGAGCTTACGAGATGAGAGCGACATGCCGTGACTCTTCAATGGTGGCAAAAGTTGATGAGTAGTGCTCTTCTTTGCGAGCTTCTCCATCATCTATGTTACTATGTCCTGGTACCCATATTAGGTTCAAAGAGAACTGCTTAGCCATGGCGTTGAAAGATTTAAGTTAGCTTACTATCTCTTTTGGTTTTAATATGCCAGATTTTAGGGTTCTTAGTGCTGCTTGGATATCGGAGAAGAAATAGATATGTACACAGTGATCCGGCGGTCTTTACAGGATTTTCAGATCACAAGTTCATTTGAGTAGACTGTACTGTCTACCCAGTTTTTCCATTTTGACCCATCGTTGGTATCTGAGAGGTAACTGTGGGATAGAAGGTCATTCAAAAAGACAGTTCTCTTAAGAGATGCCAAGAAATTAAGTGTTTAAAATCGTCTCGGTGTATCTCTTTTCGGATGGATCTTCAACTCTTCTTTTTTCTCCATTATAAAGTCTGAAGGCAAGTTGTCTTTACAAGCTATTTCCTGATAAAAATTTTTCCGGGGATCTTTATTATGAAGAATTGATTTTAACCGAGTATTGAGTGTTCGGCTTCATCTGAGCTTTGCTTGCTTATTGGATTAATTATCAATAACAGTCAGACGGAGGCGACAATAAAAGCTCTAAGCTCGATTATGGAAATCCAAAAGCACTGTGGATACCTGGTGTGATGGATATGTTTCCATGAATAGAACAAATTTTCTTTCTTTTTGAGCTCACGGCGGTATAGAGAAAAACTATGTGGCAGATCAATCATTTCAGTGAGGCCCGATCAATCAATTTTTCAGAAATAAATAACCTAGAAGAAGGAAGATAGACCAGAGTGTGACTTTTCGCAAATCAAAGAAAACTTATTTGCCTAGACGGAGTTGGGAAAGCTCGAAAAATGTATATTTCCTGGCAAGAGAGGACATTTTGAAAACTGAAAGATTGTAGTAAAGGTAGTGCCGTGTGGGACGATACGTTGAAAGCCATCTTTCGAAAGGTGTTGCAGGAACTGTAGAATGATTGAAGAGGAGGAGGATAAACAAATTTTTTGCACTCTCTGTGGCTCTCCTGCATTGGCAGGCTTTCTGATCTCGAGGACTTTGTAACGGACGTCCAAGTAATCCATCTTTTGAGTTTCGGATTTTTGGAGGATTAAAAAAATTAAGCTAAATTTTCTGATTGCGGTCGCCCCGAGCTAGTTGAACAAAATCTATCATGAAAAATGTGATGCTCTCACAGTGGCTGCCACCCCTGACATCTATTTAGATTTATTTTAATACTAATAAGACTGTTGTTTTGGGTTTGACAGCTTTAAAATATTAATATTTTAGGTAATAGCGATTTAAAAAAAAAAATATAATAAATAAAAAATTTTAAAGAAATAGAAAACTCCAATTAATGCAATTCAAATTTTCTCTTCAATTTTATTTAAATTTCTTAAAGAGAAGGCTCCTCTTTTCAGGCATTGAATTCATTACTTTCGTTTATTTGTTTACAGTTTCGTTTCCTTTGCTTTTGTTTTATTTTAATTTTTTTTTTAGTTATTTTCTTGCTTTCTTTTTTTGTCATTTAGAATTTATGAGTTTGGCTTTTGGTTTTCGCCGCAACAAATACGATGTCATAAATTTACGTTGCACACAAATATGCCGAAAGAAAAACAAACACAAATACAAATACAACACATCTATACATATGTAAATAGTTAACGCATATTAAAAATTCATGCAGAAAAATAAATACATAATTTATTATCATAACAGTAGCATAATAAATAACAAAATCAAATATATCTCAATGTTTGTATATATGTATGTATCAGTGTAAACAATTCATCAAATCACTAATAAAAAATTATTTTCTCTTCTCTCTCACTCTCTCTTTCCCATGCTCTCTTTTTATGTATCTGCCATAGCATACGACTCATCATTGCGCCTGTAAATATACGCACAACAAAAATATTAAAAAAAAAAAATACTCATAAATCAAACAATTGAAAATCGTGCATAAAATCGTGTCATAAAAATGTAATTAAAATAAATAGTTAAAATCAAAATTACAAAAAAAAAAAATTATTGAATAAATACAAACCACTAAATATTATTAAAAATTTATTATAAATCATGTGCAGCTGCGTGTTCATAAAGAAATATATATTTAGTTGTAAATATGTTAGTTAAAGGCAATAACTTAAGTAAATAATAAAATTAAATATATTTAAATATATTTTTATAGAAAATTATTTAAATAATTACGGAAGAAATAATTAAAGGATCTAAAGAATGTATAAAAAAATAGCTTAAATTATTTTTAAACAAATATATATAAATTAGTTATGAAATAATTAATATACTAATAACAATAAAAATTTAAACTTAAATAAAGAAATAAAATAATGATATATTAAATTAAAATGGAAAAAACATCTTAGAAAAACCTTAGAAAAATTTATTTTATAATAAATTTTAACTAAAAAATAAAATTTTTACACATAAAAAAACTAAATCTAATTATTTTGAGTTTGAATAGTTTTCAAAAAATTAAAAAACAAATTAACATAAAGCGCATACCCATAAAAACACTAAAAACAATAAAAAATGAAAGGAAGTAAATAAAAAATTACTTAAAATTTAAAAAATAAAAGAAAGATATTCTTCAACTACTAGTAAAAATTAAAAATAAAAAAAAACCAAATAAAAAAATTAAGAGTAAAAAATTAGAAAATATGTTAAGATATTAAATTTAAATTGATTTTAAAAGTTTATCAAAGATTCAAGATTTGTGTCCATAAAAATACCAAAATTAATAAAATGAAAAGCTATTACATATAACAGTTAATATAAACAAATATATAAATAATATAAAGCTAAAAAATTATTTAAAATGAATGTAAAGTATCTCAAAAATTTTAATAAAAATCGCTTATTAAACAAATTTTCGTAGAATTAAAAAAAAAACTCACTTATAATAAATGATCCGCCATCATGTTTCATAAAAAACTGAAAAATCACCGCTAAATCAGTAATAATTTCTTATAAATCTCCTAAAGCTCATACGCCAAGTCAAACTCGATATCTTCTTCATGCCACTAAAAGCACACCACCACCAACAACAACAGCATCAAAAATTTCCCTTACTCAAACTGAAATTGAAATTATGGAACAATCATTTCAAACATTGTATTCTCATTTAAATGTTGCTTTCATATTAGCCAAACCACAACAAAAACAAGCGGGATTTAAGTGGCAGCTCCCAAGAGAGTGTTCGTGTGAAAGACCACAACAACAAGTGCAACAAGAGAAACAGCAGCGGAAGCAGGAAAACCACAACAACAGCACAAGAGCGGCAGTATTTTGTTGATATACGGCAAGTGTATGATCTTATGTAGAAGAAAACAACAACAGTAAACAGCGAAAAAATAGTAGTTAATTTTTGGGGAAAAACGTACACAAATGAACACTTGAAGGTGAGAAATTTAATGAATTTATGAGTAAAATTTAGTAAAAAATGTATATATGTAAAGTATAGATAAATATTTCGTTCGGTCCTCTTTGGCGGATTAAAGTTACGATAGTGTATCGTTGACCATGCATTTTGTTTTCGTAATTCCGAAACTTATTTGCGTAAAGTCAACATTTTTGATTTTAATTTTAATTATATTTATAATTTTAATTTTAATTTTAATTTTAATTTTAATTTTAATTTTAATTTTAATTTTAATTTTAATTTTAATTTTAATTTTAATTTTTTTTTTAATTTTAATTTTAATTTTAATTTTAATTTTTTTTTTAATTTAGTTTTTTGTATTTTTTTGTTAAGTAATTTTTTTGCAGACCTTATTGTAAATGGCGGCCCTTAAAATTTTTTTGGTTTGGGCTGGTTGTTTGGTTCGTGTAAATGCTTAATTTTTTTATCTTTTCAATCATTATCTGGAAACTTTTTCAATTGTCGCAGTGTAAATGGACGTCTTTTGTGGATTTTTTTTAGTGCATTTATATGAACAGAAACTGCCAAAATTTTTTTTCGAAAATTTTCAAACATGTCCGGCACATGTCATTTTTTTAATCGAGTTTAATTTCAAGCGTCTACACTCATTTTTTTTTCACTATCCAAACGTTTGCACCGACAGCCAAAAACTATAATTTTATTTTACCAGTAGGTATATACATACATTTTTTTTATGTACATGGGTTCCTATACATTTGCCATTGGTTTTTTTCCATTGCAGCAAGTTGGCAATGTTGCTGTGCATTTTTTTAATTTAATTCAACGGAAATCCAATCAAACTCATTTTTTTCATAATTTCGTAAAGGAGGGTGCACAGTAAGCAATAAAAAATAAAGAAAATATTTGTATGTATGTATGTATGTGTTAAAGTGGTAAAAAATTTGGCATTGCACAAATAACTTTTTTTCATAAAATGTAGAACAAAAAAGAGGCGAAAAATTTTTTTAACAAGACAACTACAAATGAGGTAATAGGAGGTTTTTTTGAAGAAGAGCAAAAAGAAAAATTGTACCAAAATTTTTTTGGCGCTTACACTGGCCGCTTTTAAGCGCTTTACATTGTCAACAAGCGCAGCAGCAAGTAGTGCACGCTTAGTTTTTTTGAGAGGGAGGTAAGGGAGACAAGTTGCTGTAATTTTTTTAGAAATTAGAAAAAATTCTGTAAAAAAACCAACAAAAAAATCGACAATCAAACCATGCAGCAACATATTGTTTTTTTTGCTCTTTATATACATACATACATACTTATATGTTTTTTTTCATCTGCTGTCGTTGGAAAATCTAAAATCACTGTTCGCCTTGCTCTTCATGGCCTTCATGCGCCCACACATTTTTTTACTTCTCTGTTCAAATAGTTTGCCTACTGCTGTTTTTTTTGCTGCTGCCACTCAGTGTCGACCATTTAGCCTTTTTTTGCCATAGTTGTTGGTCGACCAGGCAACAGGAATTTTTTTGCGGGCAATGCAGTTGATAGCTTTGATTTTTCTTTTTTTTTCAATTGTGTGCTTTTCCTTTATGAATCTGTTTTTTTTTGTGCAGATTTTGTCTACTTTTATGCTATTTTCGTAATTTCCTTTACTCACTTTCGTGTAGTAAAAATATCTTTTTTTCTTTTATCAACATTATCTCGGGTGATTTTGTTTTCACCCTATCTCTTGTTGCTGTGCTGCCATTTGACTTGTTTTTTTGCTGCTGCTGCTGCTGCTTCCAGAACTGCAGTTTTTTTTTGTTTTTTTTTCTCTTTTCTGTTATTGCTGTGTTTTTTTTGCTTACTACTGCTGCTGCTGCTTGTTTTGTCTTTTTTTCTGTCCTTTGCAATTCATTTAGCAGGAAATGTTTTTTTTTATTGAATGTTGTTGGCATAAAAATAGAAGTGTTTTTTTGTATTGAGCGGATAGGCGAGAGATTAGTGGTTGGGAAAAGTGTGCTTATTTATAGATGAATGATGAAATATTTTTTTTATTTTTAGCACAGGGCGGTGTATACCAACTGATTTTTTTATTAAGATATAATTGTTCCGCATACAAGATGCTTTTTTTTTCTTGGAACTTATAAGGTGAGAATTCATCTCTTTTTTTCGGCGCTCATTTTGTCAAGAAATAGCTGCATTTTTTTTTTAGAGGGAAGTGCTTACTCTTTGGAATATCCTTTTTTTTTGACTTTGCCATATTGTGTTAGAGCTCTCATTAAGTTTGTTTTGAAGATCCAAGAGAAGAAAATTCATAAGTTTTTTTAAAGCCTTTGAAGAATGAGAGTAATTACCGAGCGCTGGACTCTTTCTAGTTTGAATCTGAATATAGATTCTTTTTTTTTTGAGCCACCATACGGTGACATCGTCACTAGTTTTTTTTTTACTACTAAGTAGTACTAATATTGTACTAATTTTTTTTACCCTAAGACTACTACTACTACTACTACTACTTTTTTTTCTACTGTTACTACTATGACTACAACTACAACTTTTTTTTCTACTACTATTGTGCAACTACTACTACTACTATTTTTTTTAAGTAGTACTAATACTAATTCTACTACTATTTTTTTTTCTACTACTACTACTACGACTACTACTGCTACTTTTTTTTCTACTACTACTACTTCTACGACTATTACTACTTTTTTTTCAACTACAACTATTATTAATAATACTACTAAGTTTTTTTCTACTACTACAACAACTACTACTACTACTACTTTTTTTTCTACTACTACTACTATTACTTCAATTGTACAATTTTTTTTATTACAACTACTACTACTACTACTAATGTGATTTTTTTACTATTACTACTACTACTCCTACTACTACTACTTTTTTTACTACTACTACTACTACTACTATTACTACGACTTTTTTTACTACTACTACTATTACTACTACTACAACTACTTTTTTTACTATTGTACAACTACTACTATTACTACTACTTTTTTTTTTACTACTACTACTACTATTACTACTACTACTTTTTTTTCTACTACTACTACTACTATTGCTACTACTACTACTACTATTTCTACTCCTACAACTTCTACCATTACTACTATTGTACAACTACTACTACTACTACTATTACTACTACTACTACTATTACTACTACTACTACTATTACTACTGCTACTACTACTACTACTATTACTACTACTACTACTATTACTACTACTACTACTATTACTACTGCTACTACTACTACTACTATTACTACTACTACAACTGCTACTAACTCTGCTGCTCCTTCTGCTACTATTTTTACCACTACTACTATACTTTTACTAATTCTACTACTACTATGTATTACTGAAATTTCCACTACCCACTAATTTTATTACTGCTACTACTATTTGTACTACTTTCACTCAAACGTTCCCCCCCTAAAATCTGAACTCAAAAATATTCCTCAATATTTAATAATCCTTACTTTAGTGCATACTATAATGAAGCATGACGAGATATTTT